TCCGTACGTATGCGTGTATGTAAATACATCATGCCTTGTTCACACACGCACTGACATATATGTAGTATTGGTCATGCGCATGCACAGACAAGCCCCATTGGTAGAATCTGGGGCGGGGGGTGTGGTTCACGCCCAGCTGATTTCAAGCCTCCGGCAACCCCAAGAAAGCACCGATGCCCCGAGAAAAATATATCTATATATATATAAATATGTGTGTGTAAGTAGATCATGCCTTGTGGTCATGTATACACACAAACAAGTCCAATTGGTAGACTCTGGGGAGGGGTTGGGGGAGGCGTTTCTAAGTGTTCACCCCCAGCTGATTTCAAGCTTCCGGCAACCCCAAGAAAGCAGCGATCCCCCCATGACGAAGGTCTGTACATGTATTAATATGAGTGTGTGTGTTGGTGGTAAGTGATCATGCGTTGCTCCGCGCAGTGCTTCTGACATGGATGGTTAGCTAGTACTGGTCACGGGGGTTCGGGGAGGCGTTTCTGTGTTCACCCCCAGCTGATTTCAAGCCTCCGGCAACCCCAAGAAAGCACCGATGCTCCCAGGATGAAGGTCTATATATATATATATAAATATGTGTGTGTTTGTGTAAGTAGAGCATGCCTTGCTCACGCAGTGCTGACATGTATGGAGTATTGGTCATGTATACCCACAAACAAGTCCAATTGGTTGACTCTGGGGGGGGGGGGGGTTGGGGGAGGCGTTTCTAAGTGTTCACCCCCAGCTGATTTCAAGCTTCCGGCAACCCCAAGAAAGCAGCGATCCCCCCATGACGAAGGTCTGCACATGTATAAATATATATGTGTGTGTGTTTGTGTAAGTAGATCATGCCTTGCTCACACACGTGCTGACATGTGTGGAGTATTGGTCATGTATACACAAACAAGTCCAATTGCTATACTCTGGCAGGGGGGTTGGGGGAGGCGTTTCTAAGCCCAGCTGATGTCAAGCTTCCGGCAACCCCAAGGAAGTGCTGACATGTGGGGAGGATTGATCATGTATATTGGTAGACTCTGGGGTGGGGGTGTTGGGGGAGGCGTTTCTAAGTGTTCACCCCCAGCTGATTTCAAGCTTCCGGCAACCCCAAGAAAGCACCGATGCCCCCAGGATGTGTATATATATATATATGTGTGTGTGTGTAAGTAGATCATGCCTTGCTGACGCTCGTGCTGAGATGAAATGGAGTATGGTTATTGTATACACACACAAGTTCACCATTGGTTAGAGCTTCTGTTGGGGAGGGTTTTTCTAAGTGTTTCACCGCTCCCGAACTAATTTCAATTCTTTCCAAGATGTCCGGCAACCCTAGAGAAAAACACCGAAGTCCCCTGAGGACGAAGATAATATCTATATAGTTATATAATATGTTTATGTAGTAGAATTCAGGCCTTGCTACATAGGTGCTGACCTACCTGGAGTATTGGTCATAATATAGACACACGTCACGCCCCCAAGTGGTTGAAAACGGGGCGGTGTGGGGGGGGGGGTGGTGTTTCTAAGTATTCACCGCCCGGCTGATTTCAGGCTTCCGTACGTATGCGTGTATGTAAATACATCATGCCTTGCTCACACACGCACTGACATATATGTAGTATTGGTCATGCGCATGCACAGACAAGCCCCATTGGTAGAATCTGGGGAAGGGGTGTGGTTCACGCCCAGCTGATTTTAAGCCTCCGGCAACCCCAAGAAAGCACCGATGCCCCGAGAAAAATATATCTATATATATATAAATATGTGTGTGTAAGTAGATCATGCCTTGCTCACACAGTGCTGACATGTCTGGAGGATTGGTCATGTACACACACAAACAAGTCCAATTGGTAGACTCTGGGGAGGGGTTGGGGGGGGGGGAGGCGTTTCTAAGTGTTCACCCCCAGCTGATTTCAAGCTTCCGGCAACCCCAAGAAAGCAGCGATCCCCCCATGACGAAGGTCTGTACATGTATAAATATATGTGTGCGTGTTTGTGTAAGTAGATCATGCCTTGCTCACACAGTGCTGACATGTATGGAGTACTGGTTACGGGGGTTCGGGGAGGCGTTTCTTTTTGTTCACCCCCAGCTGATTTCAAGCCTCCGGCAACCCCAAGAAAGCACCGATGCTCCCAGGAGCAGGTTCTCGATCCTAGATATTATACATATAGTGTGGGAGTGTGTCTATGTAAATACATAATGCCTTGCTCACACAGTGCTGACATGTATGGAGTATCGGTCATGTATACACACAAACAAGTCCAATTGGTAGATTCTGGCGGGGGTGGGGGTGGGTGGGTTTGGCGGAGGCGTTTCTAAGTGTTCACCCCCAGCTGATTTCAAGCTTCCGGCAACCCCAAGAAAGCACCCTATGCCCCGAGGACGAAGGTCTATATATATATATATGTAAATATGTGTGTGTGTTTGTGTAAGTAGATCATGCCTTGCTCACACAGTGCTGACATGTATGGAGTATTTGTCACGGGGGTTCGGGGCGGGGAGGCGTTTCAAAGGGTTCACCCCCATGATTTTCCACGCTCCGGCAACCCACGACACAGCCACCGATGCTCCCAGGATGAAGGTCTATATATATATATATGAGTATGTGTGTGTTTGTGTAAGTAGATCATGCCTTGCTCACACAGTGCTGACATGTATGGAGTATTGGTCATGTATACCCACAAACAAGTCAAATTGGTAGACTCTGGGGGGGGGGGTTGGGGGAGGTGTTTCTAAGTGTTCACCCCCAGCTGATTTCAAGCTTCCGGCAACCCCAAGAAAGCAGCGATCCCCCCATGACGAAGGTCTGTACATGTATAAATATGTGTGTGTGTTTGTGTAAGTAGATCATGCCTTGCTCACACAGTGCTGACATGTATGGAGTACTGGTCACGGGGGTTCGGGGAGGCGTTTCTGTGTTCACCCCCAGCTGATTTCAAGCCTCCGGAAACCCCAAGAAAGCACTGATGCTCCCAGGATGAAGGTGTATATATATATATATAAATATGTGTGTGTTTGTGTAAGTAGATCATGCCTTGCTCACGCAGTGCTGACATGTATGGAGTATTGGTCATGTATACCCACAAACAAGTCCAATTGTGGTACGCCTCTGGAGGGGGGGGGAGGGGGGGTTGGGGGAGGGTTTCTAAGTGTTCACCCCCAGCTGAGTTCAAGCCTCCGGAACCCCAAGAAAGCACCAATGCTCCCAGGATGAAGGTCTATATATATATATAAATATGTGTGTGTTTGTGTAAGTAGATCATGCCTTGCTCACACAGTGCTGACATGTATGGAGTATTGGTCATGTATACCCACAAACAAGTCCAATTGGTAGACTCTGAGGGGGGGGGGGGGTTGGGGGAGGCGTTTCTAAGTGTTCACCCCCAGCTGATTTCAAGCTTCCGGCAACCCCAAGAAAGCAGCGATCCCCCCATGACGAAGGTCTGTACATATATAAATATATGTGTGTTTGTGTAAGTAGATCATGCCTTGCTCACACAGTGCTGACATGTATGGAGTATTGGGCATGTATACCCACAAACAAGTCCAATTGGTAGATTCTGAAAAAAGAAGCGGGTTGAAAAAACCGTTTCTATTTGTTCGCCCCCAGCTGATTTCAAGCTTCCGGCAACCCCACGAAACCATTTCATTAACCTTATGATGTGTTTCATTATTGTCCACGGTGTCGCGCAGTTTTTTCCTGTTGTTTTCTGTTGAAACAAGGGAGGGATGAACACATGATGAAAAACAGATGATGTTCATGGGAAGTTCTGAAAACAAAAAATGCCAGCAAATCATAATTTGTTTATCATTGTTCATTGTTTCATCATTTGCATACTGTGCTCATATTGGTTCATCATTGTTTCATCATCTCGTCATTTGTTTTTTTGGTAAAATCGTTGTTTTTTCGTGATTTGTAGGTTGTCTTTTGTCTGGCTGCCCGAAGATCTCTTAAGTCTATCATGTGTGCTGTGTTCCGGATTCATTGGGTATATATATATATAGTTAGTTCCGCTGTTTTTTTCTTGCATGGTCGGCTCTTTTCTCTCTCGGGGCAACGCCCGTGACCAATGCTTAGAAGCCGCAGGTACCTCTGGGGCAACACTTAGAAACGTTTCTAAGTTTTTGACGGCTGGTAATATGCATCAGAATCGCCATAAAGGCGAAGAAAACGTTTCTAAGTGTTGGTCGGCCGAACCGTTTCTAAGTGTTGAATTTACTGTTTTTATTTTTTCGTTTCTAAGTGTTTGTCGGAAATTTTGGAGACCAAAACTGTTTCTAAGTGTATGTCCGTCACTATAGGTCCGATCTCAAAAAGAGCGGAGTTATGCCCGAGTGAAGATACCTGGCCCGGGGGTCTTTTGTGCTTTGGCCGCATAAACACTGCTCCTTGTGATCCCTTTGAACATTGCAACCAAGCGCAGACCGAAAGTGGTCAGGCGGTACTTGATCCACAAAAGCACAGCCACCCCGGGGCCATGAGATCTCAAGTGTGAGGCACGTTTGACCCCTTGCAAAGCATAACAAACTCAAGCTTGTTGGAGTGAGCTCTAGAGGAACCACCCATCGGCAATGTGGTGGTTGAGATCAACGCAGAAGCTGTCACCAGCACCCGGGTGCCAACACCTGCACAGAATCCCAAGTGCTGTCCAACCAGCCGTTGGGACCCGCGGGGTGCAGGATTTCGACTATTCAAGGCTTGTGGTGGCTTTGGGACGATGGAGAGCCGAAATTTGGTTTGCCGCTGTTCTCCCTCCTTACATCCACGGATGTGGGTTTATTCGAGTGTTTTCGATTTGAGAAAATTCTCACGATTGCATTTGGAGTTGCACACCCAGGGCGAATGTTTGCTGGCGGTGTTCCCCAATGCCAAGTTGTGTTGTTGTGCCAGTTGTGCCGCATTCCTTGAGCTCCTCCTACCCTCCCTGTTGGCAAACCGCTTTTGTGGCAAAGCGTTGGACTAGTTTGGCCACCACGGACGTGAGGTGCAGGTATGCTATCGGGGAAAGTTCGGGCAGGTCTCGGAGAGCAAGACCGGCGTTTCCTTCGCCCGGCCCTGAGATGAATAGCAAGCGGTTCGGGGGCCGGATCTGTGGAGGTTTGCAGCACTTTCTGAGGCATTCTTGCCTTTGCCGATTTTTCAACAAGTTCGACCCTGACTAAGATTGGTTGGACCCCCAAAATGGGTGAAGCAGAACCCGAAAGCCGAAAGGTTTCAGAGTTGAAAACGAAGGGGCTTAGAGTTTGGTCTGGGAGTCAGGGAACAGCTTTGAAAGAGGAATCCACATTTTGGTTGGGCGTTGGTGTGTTCAGGTGAGAAGCACCCACGGCCCTAGGTGGCACCCTGCCTGGTTCAACCTGGCCCGTTACATGGCGTCCCGCGACCGCAACCTGCCAAGTGAGCGGGGTATTTGTGTGCTCCATAGCCAAAGCGAAAGCTTGGAGACCTCTGAGCAATCAATCCCGGTTGCAAGTGAAAGCTTGGGACAATCCGAAAGATACTTTGGATGGACGAAATCCTGCACCACTTTGACACCGAGCCATTGTTTCTTGGTATTTACAGGGGAATCATTCATTCCAGGGTTTCTTTGGCGCGAAATGGATTTCGCAACCATCCACAGGTGCGGCGATCCGAACTCTGCCCTTTCAGTTGAACGATTGCAGGTGCCCTTCGGCTGCATCCCGGCGCCGCGGCCGGTGCCGAGCGGCAAGCTGCGCCGGGCCCCTGAGAGCGAGCCTTCTCGGCCGATTCGGGGAATGGCGGGGTCTCTCCTTGAAAAATTGGGTCGGTCTTGATTGGAAACCGAAATGTCCAAAATGTTTGGTCCCCAAAATTTGAGGCACGCCTCTAAATGGCTAAATGGGGGGTTGCCTAGAATTGAAATTGTAGTGTCACATGAAATGGCTGGAAGATCGTAGAGCACAACTTTACAGAAAATGACTAGAAGCCTCTCTGAAGCCCCTGCCCGCTATAGAAGACCCTATGCATGTTTTTTTTTTGTGAAGACCTGCACAAACGGCCCGGCGCAGGAGGTATCATCTCTATTGAAGGTGCTTCACCCTGAATCTATATTGAAGGTCCTGTAGGGGATCTCTTCCGAGGATGTGTTGGCAAGGTCCTCCGCCACCATGCCTTGCAGTGACAGTCAGAACCGGATAGAGTTTTCACACTGTTTAGGGGAAAAAGCTAGTGGAAGGAGTGATGCAGTCAAGCGAATCCCGCAAAGGGAAATCCAAGTCTCTGAGCCAAATAAAGTTGGAATCATCGGTTTCGCTTTCTCCGAGGCCTCCGTGTGAGGACGGCCTGCTGCAGTGTCGAGGTGAAGGCGTCTGGGAAGCTTTGGGCGGTGGCGGCGTCTAAGGGCCATCCTCCCTCTCACCAACATAGTATCCTTGCACAGGTGCTGCCCCGGTGGGAGGAAAGGTGTCAAAATCAGGACTGGGGTGGCCACTTTAGGCCCAAAAGGAAACGGCTATCTTTGGGTTGCTTGTTTCAGGACACACCCAAATGCATCTGGACCCATCCTGAAGCAACCAATTCAGCTGCAAGGCTTTTGGAGGAACGGCGACCCCCTTTAGACCGCTTGCACCCGCGCTTCTACAATCACCTTGGACACCCGGTTCCAAACTTGGAGCATCTACTTTCACCCAAGGGTAGTGTTGACAAAACGCCCCTTTGAGGTCCCTCTAATCTCCCCAAAAAGGCCATGGTCAAAGGTACGTCTGCTTTGGATGACGGGTATGACGAGGGTAGTGGGGACATCTAAAACCACAAGTGGGTTTGTACCTAAATAGTGGAACCCACAAAATGGGCTGGCTCGCCTTGGTTTCCCTTGAAACTATCCAAAAGGGTGGGTTGTCGTTCAGAATTGGACTGTCGTTGAAGAATTTGACTGACTGTGTGAAGTAGTAGAAGCCATTTCAACCCAGCCCCACTTGTTCACTCATATGTCGTGATGTCATGTTTATTTATTGAGATTCCGCCAAGCCAGCCAGTATTCTACTTATTTGACCCCGCCCGTCAACCTTGGGCCCACGCAGGGCGACATCTTTGTCGGCAACAGCTGCGTCGCGGCGCCGGCGGTGAAGACGGCCGGGGGGAGACAGGGAGACAGGTGCGAGCGAGTGGTCGGCCAAAGTGGAGCCTCGGACCGTAGGTGAATCAAACCTCGTTGCTTTTGGTCAGGGGTAAAAACACGTGGCGAGCAGGGATCCGAGTCGAGCCTTCGTCTCATGCGGCCCGGCACGGATCGCCCGATTCTTGTGCAGTTTCGGTGGGCCCTTTGGACCTGAGCGCCTGCTAGGTGCGGTTTGGGCAGCACACGCCCGGAACCCAAGTGGGCGATGTCTCTCACACAAGCCATTGGCCAAACGGGGACCTGCGGGCAATGCTCCGGAGGGCTCCTGGAGACACTAGAGAGCTGGCGCGTTGGTTGGAAAGGGGAGCAAAAGGACCGATTTGTTTCCACTTTTGTTGTTTGATCGCAGGTTCGGAGCAGCCCTGCTTATTTGGTGTAGGGAAACCCGAATGAAGCCAGGCACACCTCCCCAAAGCTGGTTTCCCTTCAAGGCAGGCAGACAGTGTGGTTCTTGTTCGCGCCTTCTTTGGGGGCGTTGCATTTGGTTGCAGCAAAAAGGAAGCTGCCTAAAATAGGGCAAGCCTTCATCGGCTTGCGCTCTGGAGGGATATTCCATCACCTTTCTTTTGGCCTTTGAGTTTTTGCTGGGTCCACTTTCCCTTTTAGTCGCCCCAAAAGGCGAAAACTGTTCTTTGTACTTTGGACGAACCGATGCGGTGTGTCCTTTTTGGATGTTGCTGAAGGCTCAGCGCGCCGGCGCTGGGCGCGCGCAACGCGCAGATCTGCCTGGCCAAAGGCGGGATCGAGCCCAGCATGAGGGACACCAAATGGGCATGTCTACTCTTAGACCAAAATGGAACTGGTTTTTGTTTTGTTGCCTTGTTTTTGTTGTTTTTGTCGTTTTATGTTTTAAAAGCCACAAACAAAAGGGTGCGTTCAGGAAAGACACACCACCCGTTTTTTGGAGGGGCAGGTTCCTGTTTTGACACCCCCTGGCTCAAATGGAGACCCCTGGCTGGGAAAGGGACGCCAAAACGAAACCTACCACACTGTAGGAACTCTGCTCGGTCGAACACGGATGGAGTCCGCGGGTTTTTCAGTGCCACCGTTTCCAAAAGATTTCACAAGTTGCTGCAATCCCTTCCCCTTAATAGGGTCTTAGAGCGATTATACTCTTTTAATCTGCATTTATAAATAAGGGGAAAGATTGATGTCAACTGGACTCTTTGTAGTTCAGCTTCCCTTTTTAGTGTCAGCAATGAAAGGAAACAACTGCTGATGTTTGAATGAGTTTTTCCTGATTCCATTGGGAAATATCATGACCCTGTTCAACTCGCATGAGTCTCACTGTCAACGGAGCGAGCCATTGCCGTTATCTCCCTCCAGAAACCAATCGATCCATCAGTCGTCTCAGTGAATCCCGGGCTCAGGAGTCGCAAGGTCAGTTTTGTGAGGGAATTGTGGGCGGGCGGATAAACACATGCGAGCTTTGGGTATGCAGGTTAGTTAGATCACTGGCTTTTAAGTGATGTTACGACTTTTTGATGGCAGCAAGCTCAGGACCAAACTAGAGATGCAAAGTGGCACCATGCGCAGGGCAGGGCGGCGGACACGCCTTTGACAACCCTGAGATTTAATCAATCCCGGGATGATTACTCTGATTACTCTGATTCTCTCTTTCTAACAGCCATGGACAGGCAAAAGGACCCCTGGTCCACTTCCATGATTGGAAAGAGGGTAGTGCAAATTTGGATTCTTCCCCAAACCTTTTAGCAAGACTGTTTCAATGGAAGGGAGCCAGGTCAAGGATTTTACAGATAACCGTCTGTAACCAAGAATTCTTGACCATTGACTGCCAAGGAAGAAATCATCCAAGAAGCACCACACAGTCTCTCTCCCATCACCAGCCAAGCAAAGAGAAGGCTGGCATGGGATCTACAATAAGATAAAATCCTTGAACAGACATAAGAAGAGAATTAGCCATCTCACATCTCCCTTCATCTCACACCTCTTCCACCGCCCGCGGGCTGGTATCCACTATGAGTCTGGTGCGAGCCTAACACGAATACCCGACCTGGAGACAAGTTCAAGTGGCTTGAACCCTGAGACCTGTTTCAATGCAGCGATGTGCCTAAGTATTGGAGTAGGAAACGCATTGGTCTTCCAACTGTTCATCAGAATCGCCGGAGCCTTCATCCCCTCCTTCAGGTGAGGGTATGGGTCAGCGAAGATAGAGGGCACATGGGCAAGGAACGGGTCGCTCTCATGTGCTTGTTTTGCCCTGCCGTTTATTTATGTTGATTATGGCAAAACATGCAGCCCCAGGGTTTTGCTGCGCAGGATGCGGTGTAACTCTTCCCAAGCAACAGTCAAGAGCCGGCTTCCAGGCGATCGCCATGCAGAGGATGAAGGTGGGACTGATTCGGAGTGCATCAGGAGTGCTTCGCTGGTTTCGGCCGGTCCTTTGTTTCTATTGATTCTGTTCTGTGGCTGCAACACAAACAATGTTTTGCACATCTGCTCAAGGGGTGGGAAAAATGGATGCCACTTCCACCAACAAAGGGTGTCCTTTTTCTGTGATCCTTGGCCAAGTAAGTAAGTGTTCTGCGATGGGGATTGGTCAGGAATGAACAGGTCCGTGTCAAGAGCACGATGTGAGCTTGGAATATTGGTGCTATAGTAGCTCGGGCTGAAAGGTCTGTTTTTGTTCGGGTTTGCCCACAGGTGACGAACTTCTCAGTGATTTTTCGACCTGGAGTTTAAGGTTCCCACGAAACCCAATGGGCCCTTCAGGCGAGGAAGGCGCGATGGGGGGCAAAGCCGGACAGACGTCAACTTGAGCTGAACCCTTCCCACTGGGCACGGACTGCATGTAGCTTTGGTCCATTCAAGATCTACAAAATGGAACCCCTTGTTGCGACAAACGTCTGATTTATCAACAATCAACAATGCGAAGCTCCTGCTTTTGCTAGGCCTACAATGGGGGGAAAAACTGGGTCAGAACTTGGGGATCCTCTTAGTTTGGCTTCAGGGAGGTGTACTTGATCTTTCTTCGAGCCTTGAAGCATTGGCAGCAATGAATGAGTGACATCAAGATGCCTAGATGTGCAGTTGTCACCTGGAGTTCATGACCCGCGTCCGAACTCGGTTTCGGGTGTAGCATTTATGTTGAGTTGGTGCGATAATACACTTGCCTGACCCGGAAACACTCTACCGTGAGTTCCAACCGGAGCGAGAGTATAGAGCAAAGGCCATGATGTAACAGGCGCTTGTGGGACGGTGAAGCACAGCATTGAACGCGAGTCAACTCCATTTCAGCAGGGCCAAGCCTGCCATGCACGGAGGAGTGAGCACCTAGTGATCTCCCCTCATGCCACGACACATTGACAAGGCATTTTGCATGCAACAAATGCGCAATTCCAAATGGATTGAGGTTTGAGGTTTGGTAGGAGCAGTCCAGAACATGCCTGTTTGCTCTTTGAAGAAGTCCCGTTTAATCGAACATATACGTCCTTGTGGCCTTCATGAAGGTTCCATTCCGAGTGGCTGGTTGGATCGTATCTCACCCGTCCTATCTGGGAACGGTTTGGTCAAGCTGGCACTCCCTGTCTGAACTCGTTTCGGTTTCATGTTGGGCAGCCTCCATTACACACCCTGCTGGCGCGGTTGTGCGTCTTTTGTTTGGGCTTCACTTCAAGTGAACCAAGAGAAGCCCTTTCGTAGCTACGGAAAACTCCGCCGGCAAAATCAATAAGTTAGACCGTTAGACCAACTTGCTTTTGGCGCCTTTGCTGCAGCTGGATACTGGACCTTCTAGCTGAGTTTGCCAAAGATGTGGAGCACCACGGTTTCGTTTGGGTATGGGTCAAAATTAAACCACCAGGGGACCGCAGGTTTTTAGTCCTTGGTTCCATTTACCAGGGTTCTAGTTTGGTACCTATTTTTGACCCACAGCCATTTGTATGACGTTTGGCTTGCCTTGGGGGTACTTCACAACTTGCCCTGATGCAGGATCCCTGCTTGAAAACGTGTCCCCGCATTTGTAGTTGCAGGAGGATGCCCATGACTCTGCTCATGTACAAAGCGAGAAGGCCAAACAAGGTTGCACAAAAAAGACAACTGGTCGTGGTCCAAAGGCAATTGCCAAGAGGCCAACAACTTCTTTCAGCTTTGCACAACAGCAGGGACACGTCATGATACTGTAGCAGTGTTTAGATATTCGGCAACATATTAATGAGTGTTGCTTCGCCTGTGAGTCCCTTTCTGAGGGCAAACATGTTTTGTCATTGCACAATCAGTGCCCATGCTGCTCCCGATTCATATCGTTTGGGCCAGTGAGCAACAATACCAGGATGCTCACATGATAATCTTCAGTGTCAAGCGGTACGCCAACAAACAATAGACAGAGTACACGTCCAACTGGCCTTCAACTTCAGAGTTCTCATTTGCCAGGAGAAGAAGATGTGAGCCCATTGCTCGGCTGGACACTTGGTACAATTCTTTGATGGACATGTTTCTTCGTGATGTGATGTTCTCCTAATTGGCCTTATGTTCCACTCTTGAGTTGGGTCAAACAGATTGCACAACTTCTGACTCCCCAACCGCCTCGCAACTCTTAAACACACCCCAGCCTTATTTGGGGGCCCGCGTGGCCTACAATTTTCGAGGGAGAATTGGAGCACGATTGTTTTTCGACGGTCTCAATGGATTGTATGGGAAACCAGAGGGGAACCGCCCATCTCATCTCGAGACTAGCCCAAATGCTGAGCGCCCAAAGCTCGAATTG